GAGGCCCATTGCCCAGAGAGCAGGTAGTTCTGCAATTCCTCCCACCACATGAGAACCCCCACCCCAAATTTGGAATTCTGTTTCAAGCCCCTGTTTCTTACAGGGTTTCTTCTCTTCCAGCTACAAATAGTTAAGTGGGCCTGTGGGTCTTCGTGGAAAGCCTTTGAACATGCCGGAAAGTCTGTCACTAGAGCTCTGAGCCCACGGGGACAAGGTGGGAGTGGGATCCTCGTTCCCTCGTTTGCACTCCTGCCCAGAGCCAGCACTTTGCAGCCAAGAACAGGGGACTGGGACAGTATGATCTGAAGTGTCAGGGCTGGGATGTCCAGCAGAGGAGGCCGGTGCAGGGCTGAGGCCCTGTCCCCTAGGTGAGGAGCTGGGGAGGGCTTGAGATAGGGGCCGCCTGGCTGGTGGACAGAAGCGGCAGTGATCCTAGGCATGCTTGCAGGACTCTGGGGGCGAGGCCAGCACCCTGCCACATGCAGGGGCCACTCTGTGCCACACACGCTGATGTGAGCTCAGCCACATGATGCTGTGTCCCTTGTGTGGTGATCACAGAGACCTCCAGATGAACGTGGGTGTGCATGTGTGAATGAGCAAGGAGGGGCTCCACAAGACAGATCCCAGCCCCTCACAAGGTCCCTGCAGGTGCTGGTCGCCGTTGTTGGCAGATGATCCCAATCACCCTCCTGTCCTGCCCCTGTCTCCACAGGGCTAAAAGTCGGGACCAGGGCAGCCGTCCCAGAGCAGTGAAGCCCCTTCCCAGCTACCAGCTCCCTAAAAAGGTTCCCACGCTTTCATGATGGCCTAGGCTCATGGAACCTTACCGCATTACTGGGCTCCTGGCCCACATCCTTCTTGGCACCAAGACTCTGAGTTGTGACTAGAGCTGCAGGAAGCCAGGTTCAGGCGCATGTGCAACTGCAGCTTCAGATGGGCTGAGCCACTAACCCCGAGTCACACAGCAAAGTGGAGGATTTGCCCACAGAGCCAAGGGGTTTCCATTCTGTTTTCCTAACAGTCCTGGAGGGATGGGTGTCTGTTAGTCTTCTCCTGGCCCAAGCTTCGGTGCAGGGCCAGCAGAAATGCCTCCCACTCCCAGAGAGGCGACTGCTTCCAAGAGCCAACAGACTCTCCTGGACAGTGTATACTGTCTCCTTGGTGGACAACAGCAAGAGCTAGCAGGAGCCTGGAGGGCTGGCTCCCCTAGCCTGTTCTAGCCCCTGGACCCGGCCGCCTGCCCTGCCCTTCACACCAGCCCTGAAAGGAAACTGCTCTCCCAGGGGACCTTTGGCAGGCCCTCCCGCCAGCGGGCCACTCTGTCTTGCCATCACTTGCTCGTACAGACAGACGGCGCCGATAGCTGTGGTGCCCAGTGCCCAGTACTGGGAGTCACAAGGCGGCCAGAGTCCCAGCTTCCTGCAGGGACTCTGTCTGGGACGAAGCAGTGTGGGGTGGAAGCTAAGGCTCAGAAACAGGCAGGGGCCGAGTGAGAGACACGTGGCAGGATCTGTGCCTGGGGCAGGCCCAGGCCTGAAAGATGTGTTTTCTTAGTGCTTTCTGGGGACACACAGTCTTGACCCTGGAGAAAGGAGAAACAGGCCATGTCCATCCATCTGTCCCTACCCCAGGCAGCTAGCCGTCAGTGGCCCCACCAGGCAGCACAAGCCTGGAGCTGTGTTAGTGAAGTCCCCTGTCCTGCTATGGGGAACAGTGAGGGCTCCTGGGCACTTGGCCATGGTGTCACCCAGGAGGGGAGGGGGACAGTCATCACCATCTCCCCTGCCCTCCTTGCTCTCCCTTCCTACACAATTGGCCAGGGAGCAGACATCACCTTCACAGCCAGTTTTGCTCCTTCCCCCACCCCCTCCCCAGGTGTGCATGTCTACCCAAGGCACACACACCTGCCGCCATTCCCTTGCAGTGGCCTGGAGGTGTGCTGACTATAGAGGGTGGGTGTGTGGTCCCAGGCAGGGTCCCCTTGAGCTAGCTGGGCCCAGGGCCCTGGCTATCACCTGCAGGGGACCTGCGCCTAGTCACATGGCCCTGCTGTGCTGTTTTGGCAGTGGAGGTGATAAAGTGTTCTCTCCTCTGCCTAATCAGATAAGGCCCCTGAGGAAGGGGGTGTCAGAGCCCCAGGGACCTACACCTACACGTGGTGCTTAACTTGACCCTCTCAGAGGTGACAGGTGACAAACAGGAGAACAACAGGGCAGGACTGTAGGAGGAGCCATGTGGCCCATGATACTGGGGGCCTTCAGGGGCCATCCTGTCCATTCCCCGGCCTCCCTGAGGGGCCCCCAAGCCACCCCAGGGAGCTCCCCCTAACCCTAAGACTTGTTCCAAGGTGGGAGGTGGGGTGTGGGGAGAAATGAGGCCCACAGACCCTCCCTCTGGAAGTTCCATCGTGTCTGACCTGAACCCCTCTCCCTCGAAGACTTGGCCTTAGAGACAAGGGCACAGGGGAAAAACACCCCAGGAGCCACTAGGATGCGGCTTGGCTCCAGCAGCAGAGGGAGGCTGGCGTGGACAGGCTGGGGGGAGGCAGGCCTGCCCGCTTCGTTGCTGGGCCCTGCAAGGTCTCCCAGCTCCTTCTCCATTTAAGGCAACGTCTCAGCTCCCTGGGCTGCAAGCGCCCGCCCGCGGCAGGCCCCAGCCCCACTCATTCCAGGCTATTTGGAGGAAACTGATGATTAATCAGCCCTTCCCCCCACCCGGCCTGTTTTCCATTAGGTTCTCTCTAAAGGGTTGGCACACCTTCCCCTAGGGAACAGGCGCCTGGCAGATCCTAACCATGGGTACCCCCTGTGTAGGGGGATGGGGAGACAGAGTGAGCAGTACCAGATGAGGACAAGGGAGGATAAGTTGGGGAAGGAGGAGGGGGAAAGTATTTAACATGGGAAAACTGAGCCTTTGATGAAGTGGAGGAGGGAAGGTTGTACAGGGCTGGGCCAGGGGAGCAGCTGGCCAGTGCAGGTCTTGGACAGCAGGGGGCGCTCAGGCACCGGAGGGCTGCTGGGCAGGTGACCAGGAGTGCCTCTGGCCTGACACCCAGTTTTTCTTGAACTTGTTGCTTGAAGCTGGTGAGATGATGGTCTCACTCTGAACCCACAATGTCCCTGTCTGTTGGCCGTGAATGTCGTGGGAACGCAGTGGAAGGCAGTTGACTGGTGCACCATGGGCTCTGGGTGCATATTTGGCAGGAGTCCACCCTGGGGGCCTGAGCTGTACACTTGGACTTGAATAGGACATGCCAGTGCTGCTGTCGCCTGCCCTTTTCCAAAGAAAGCGCAGTGCATCTGAACTTGGTGGGAGAAAGAAGCCCTCTCCAAGGTGACCAGTTGACCAGTTGTTCCTTCCCTCAGGGCTTGCCCCAAGGACATCCAAAAGGTCAAATGCAGATCCCTGGGAGCCAGTGTGAATTTGAGGTAAATAGGCTCCGTGCCCCCTGCTCCATGCCTACAGCCCTGTGAGGGTAACAGGAGACAGGCAGGGCACATTCCCAGGCCTTGGCCCCTGAGCCTGCTGTAGCTCTAGCAGAGGGACCCCAGGACTCTGGCTGCTAAACAAACCCAGAGGTCAGTCACCAGAGGCCTGTGTTCATGGTGCCAGGTACCATGGGCTCCCAGGAGATAAACTTTGTGCTGCATCCCCCTGGGAAGAACAGAGTATGAGGGAGCACTATGGAACCAGCGTGCTTTGCCTGCTCCCTCCCTGCTGCCTGCACCTGAGCGAGGCCCCCTCGGAGATGCTCAGGCACACCATCTCCTCCTCTTAAAGCCCTCCAGGCAAGACACACAGGCCCATTGCTCTGTGGTCTTCTTGCGCAGTACACAAGTACACCTGTTGCCAAACTCCAGGTGGTCCTCGGCTGGGGAGGAAGGACAAATTCTTTCCCAATGGGGCCCAGCCAGGCGGGCGATAGGCCTGGTGGTTAAGATACCCACGTGTCCCAGTCAGAGCGTCTGAGTTCAAGTCCCAGCCCCGGCTCCCCATTCCAGCTTCTAGCCAGGCCACACCCTGGGAGACAGCAAGCGAGGGCTCCAGCAGCTGGATCCCTGCTATGCATGTGGGAGACCTGCACGAGTTCCCAGCCTGTGGCTTTTGCCCAACCTGATCCTGGCTATTGCAGACATCTGGGGAGCAAGCTGAATCACAGCTCTCCTTGTGTGTCTCTCTCTTGTGAATAATAATAATAAAGCAAGTTCATGGAAGAGGAAGAGGGTGCCTGTGCTCACATAAAACTTACCAGTGCTGACTCCCTTGGTCCAAAGTCCCTTGGTCTCAGAGTCCTGGAGTCCAAGTTTGTCAGGGGCCTGCCAGGTCAGCTGACCCAGGGGACTCCAGCCAGGCAGCCAGGAGTCCTCACAGAGGGGGGAGCCCTCAGCCTTCTTCTTCTTCTTTTTTTTTTTTTAACTACAAAATAATATCAGTACTGTGAATTTCTGTGAAGCACACACTGGGTGTAAGGCACATCCATCCTTCATTCCATCCACGCCTCAGCAAGATGACACTGACAGACGCAAGAAAGACCTTTCATTGGTGAAAAACCACAGGAGCAATCCTGTAGCAGACCCCTCAGAAGGCTCTGGCTGGTATCTGACGACCTCCGAGCCAGCTCGTGGGAGGCAGCGCTGGAGGAGGGTGAGAGTCATACAGCACGTGCCCCCAACGAGCCACAGTGAATCCAAGTCCCCCAGCCCAGGGCAGGGGAACCCTGGGTTCTAGTTGGATTGGCCGGAACCGGAAGAGCGGTCTTGCTAATTCACTGCTACAGAAGAGGGTGCCCAGGGCCCTGGGGCGCCCTTTGGGAGGCCCTCACGGCCCTGAGGCCAGTGCCTGTCGCTGGACTCCAGGGCACCCTTCTGGTGTACTCTTCCAGGGGTCAAGGGCAGTGTGAGCCAAAGCTCTGACCACCCCAAGTCCTGCATGCTTGTCCCAGTCCCCGTCCCTCTCGGCTGCCAGCACTCCATGTTTATTTTTCTTTTCTGAACTCTTAGGAAAGCAAGCAAGTAGAGACCAACGCAGATGCCAAGAATGGGGAGGAAAGGGGCCGGGGTGCCAGCACTAAGGCCTTGGGCCCCCGGCGGGACTCGGATCTGGGCAAGGAGCCAAAGAAGGGTGTTTTGAAGAAAAGCGTCTCCAGGGACAAAGGGGACACTGACAGCCCAAGCGGGGAGAAGCCCAAAGAAGACAAGGTCATCAAGGGCATCGACAAGGGCCGGGTCAAGGCCGCAGTGGACAAGAAGGAGGGGGCAGGGGAGCCAAGGACGGCGGCCTCAGGGAAGGAAGCAGAGAAAAAGGAAAGTGACAGGAACATGGGGATGAGTAGGGACAAGGACAAGAAGCGACAAAAAGGGAATGAGGTGGCCAGGAAGGAGGAGGACAAGGACAAAGGTTCAGGCAGGAGCCCGGACCCCAGGAAGGAAGAGGAGAAAGAGGGGAAAGCCAGAGGGGGCACAGACGTGAAGAAGGAGGGCCAGGAGGTCAAGACGGGGCCCGGGAAGACAGAGACCAGACGGGAGGAGGCCGGAGGCCAGAAGGAAGAGGCCCTCCCCAAAAAGGAAGCCAAGGATGAGAGTAAGAGTAAGACACCTGAGCAACCGGCACCCGGGGTGCCCCCTAAGCCCGCTGAGGCTCCAGCCAAGCCTGCCGAGGCCCCGGCCAAGGCCGAGGAGGAAGCAGCACACAGCATCTTCGACGAGCCGCTGGAGAAAGTGAAAAACAATGACCCTGAGATGACCGAGGTGAATGTTAACAACTCAGACTGCATCACCAACGAGATCCTGGTCCGCTTCACCGAGGCCCTGGAGTTCAACACCGTGGTCAAGGTGTTCGCCCTGGCCAACACGCGCGCCGACGACCACGTGGCCTTTGCCATCGCCATCATGCTCAAAGCCAACAAGACCATCACCAGCCTCAACCTGGACTCCAACCACATCACAGGCAAGGGCATCCTGGCCATCTTCCGGGCCCTGCTGCAGAACAGTACACTGACCGAGCTGCGCTTCCACAACCAGCGTCACATCTGCGGGGGGAAGACAGAGATGGAGATTGCCAAACTGCTCAAAGAGAACACCACGCTGCTGAAGCTGGGCTACCACTTCGAGCTGGCCGGGCCCCGCATGACTGTCACCAACCTACTCAGCCGCAACATGGACAAGCAGCGGCAGAAGCGGCTGCAGGAGCAGCGGCAGGCCCAGGAGGCCAGTGGAGGGGGCAAGAAGGAGCTGCTGGAGGTGCCCAAGGCTGGGGCTGCCCTGGCCAAGGGGTCCCCCAAACCTTCACCCCAACCCTCTCCCAAGCCATCCCCCAAGAACTCACCCAAGAAAGGAGGGACTCCGGCTGCCCCTCCACCCCCTCCCCCGCCCCTGGCTCCACCCCTGATCATGGAGAACCTGAGGAACTCACTGTCACCAGCAACGCAGAGGAAGATGGGAGACAAGGCACTCCCGGCCCAGGAAAAGAACTCGCGCGACCAGCTGCTGGCTGCTATTCGCTCCAGCAACCTCAAGCAGCTCAAGAAGGTAGGCACAGCAAAGGAGGGGGTGCCAGGTGGGCAGGGTCTCTGAGAGGGTCCATCTCAGCCAGCCCCCCTCCCACCTCCAGGCAGACTTCCCTGTGTTCCCCACTCCCATATCCCACACCTCCAGGGCTGAGGGTCCTGCACACAGGACCCTGCACACAGCCGCCCCGTCCCCGAACCCTACTCTATCCCCAAAATGCTCTTTGCCTGATTGAGCTCCCTCCCAGGGCCAGCTACACCCTCTGCATCAGGCTTCCTAAGGGAGGAAAGCTTGCCTCTTGGGCACAAATGAACACACATGCCTGTACGTGTATGGGTGGGTACACATACCTGGGTGCACACACTACACAGGTGCACACAGTCTACATCCAAACAGACACCATGCACATATGCACATGCCACACACTCATACACATATCACACATACACCACACGCAAGTCTACATACATACACACACCATATAATGTGCACATCTATGTAATACACACATACCACATAATGCACACAATGCACACACAGCTGTGCATACATGTAGGTACACACACATGTACCACACATGTGCCATACATGCACACATACCATACACACATCATCTCTGAGGCTTGTCAGGCCTTGCTCCAATCTGGCATGAAGGCCTGACCCCTAAAGGGCTGACCTGGCATTCAGGCCTGGCTCTATTATGGTTCCAGAGTTCACCAGACTCATTCTCCAAGGTGGCTGGGGTGCTGTGTGTCCAAGGGAGCAAGAGGTGAGGCCCAACAAAGGCCATGATGCTGTGTTCCACTGTAATCTACCTCTGCTCTGCCCTGCAGGTGGAGGTGCCCAAGCTGCTTCAGTAGGCCCGGGCCGCTGCCATCCAGGCCCCCACGGACCCTGCCTGCCCACCCTGGCTCACCAGCTGTTGCCGTGCAGGAGCTTCAGGCCCGGGCCATGCCCCAGGAAGGACGCCTTCTCTCTTCTCACTTCCCTTTTCTTGTCCCTGAGGCTCTCCAGAAATTGCTTTTGTGCCTGGAGCTAAGGGTTCCAGACAAGAAGGGTCCTGTGGACTCATCACGGAGCAGATGGCACTGCCCAGGGGCCCTGTGAAGCTGGCAGCTGCAGGAGGCTCAGGAGCAAAGAAAGCTGCCCCATGGACCACTCCCACCCCCAGCCCAGCTCTACTGCCCTCCAGGGCCAGGATCCAGATCCCTGAGGAGCCCTTGGGCAAAGCAGTTGGGTCGGTGGCTTGGGGGAGGTAGGGAGGCAGCTGTGGCAGGTCTGAGAGGGCTGGGGTCCCCCACGAGAGAGAGAGAGAGGCCGAGGAGACTGCAACCCCTCCCTTGGGTTAGCCCTGGCTGTTGGAGTACATGGAGGGGCAGCCAGCCTGGCAGGGAGTGGGCTGCAGCGGGCAGAGAAGGATGGATGGCAGCGGGACCTGAAGGTTTGATGCCAAAGCCGGAGTTTGCCGCACACCCACCTGCTGTTGTATAAATAGCTGTGTATCTGTTTTCCATGAGATTTTGATAATATATACAAAATGTTAGCTGTGATGGGCTGGGCTTCACCTCTGTGCTAGGCCCCTGGAGCTGGTGCTCACCCAGGGGCCATCCAAAAGCCCCAGCTCCCTGTTGTGCCTTCCAAGCTGACCATGAATTGAAGTCCACGTCCATGGAAAGAGCAGCAAGATGGCCACCCTCTGCCCCCATGCCCCAGCCTGGTTATCCTTGCGCTGGGAACCAGGGCTTGTCCCCAAACCCTCTTGCTACCTGGGGTCCCCAGCCAGAGCTGTCCTCAGGGGTCACAGGCAGAGTGAAGTCCAGGGCTCCCAGGGTTGCCTATATTAGGCGTTTCCAAAATGCTCATTCCACGACTCTGCAACCACAGGCTTGGGGCCAGGCAGGCAGCAGGCAGAGACATGGGGATGCCTGCTCATCCCATCATCCCCAACAGACCCCACCCCACCTCCTGCTTTGCTTCCTGTCCAGCTGCAGCTTCCCTGTGGCCTGCCAGTTCAGCCATGGGCATGTCAGGAACTTGTGTACAGAGCAGCACAGCAGAGCTGCCACCATTCTCCGAGCCCCTTGCAGCTTGCTTTGGCCATCTTGGAGTGAGCAGCACGGTGAGCTCTTGCTAGGAGTTCTGGATAAATCCTCATGGTGGGATATTCTGGGATGGGGGTCAGAAAACTCAGGGTGCCTCCACCCACTGCCTGTCACCCCAGTAACCTGTGTCGGGCTGAGAAGAGGGAAAGAGGAGGATCTTGCTGGCCCGTGTCACACAGAAGGTGTTGGCAGAGCTCAGGCCTTTAGCCTCTAGAGCCGCCCTTTTCCCAGACTGGGTAACCAGGGGGAGTCTCACAGATCCCCAATCGCAGGGCTCCATGGGGACCTGGCACCTGAGGAAGGAAGCCCTTGTGTCGACTTCTAAGCAGGATTTAGCTAGCGAGAAAAAGCCACTCCCTGCTGCTCCTTACTGCTCCCAAGCAGCAGGGTGCAAGCAGGGCCGCTTGTTCCCGGGCTGGCACCCCAGGGACTCGCGTGTCCCGGGAGGCATGATGTCATCGCCCCTCCAGCAAGCGCAAGTGAACCCGAGGCGGGGGCGCAGCGCTCCCTGGAGGCGGCTCGGAGGGAGCCCGGAGGCGAGAGAGGACGGCCCCACCCCAGAAGGACGCCAGCGGAGCGGGGAAATTGTTCTTCACCCCGCCCCTGCCGCCGCCCTACTGCCCACCTCCCGCACCGGCACTCACAGACTCCGCTTCCCACCCCAAAACCCGGCGGGGAAAACGCCGTCCTCGCCCATCGCCTGAGTTCCTGGAGGTGGGGAGTGGAGGGCGATGCCGGGTTCAAAGGCAGCAAATGACGCGTCCGGGTGGACGTGATCGCGACCCGAGTCGCCAGCCTGGCACCCTCCGTCCCGCGGAGCCTGGCCGTGGCGCGCCAGGAGCCGTGAGCGGTGGCCCGGGTGGCCCGGAGCCGCCGAGGCAGCGGCCGTCCTCGCAGTGGCCGGAGCTCACTGGCCGGGGAGCGAGGGGCGGCGGCTCCGGGGGCGGAGTCCGGTCTCCGCCTTGCCGGGTCCCCTTCGCGCGGTGACATCACCCCAGCACACAATGAGGAGGGGTGCGGGTCTTCGGCTGCTTTCCCTACGCCTTCTGATTCCCTCTGCCCCCTGTGACTTCCCCCTTTCCGGCGACCCCCCAGGAAGCCTTGCCACCACCCCCCCCCGCCGCGCCCTATGCCTGTCCCCACACCCAGCAGGTACCCCTTCTCGCCATCCAGGCCTCTTAGAACCCCTTTGCGGTGCGTGGTGGTCCCTCCCGCCACAGGAGGGACCCTGTCTCTTCCCCATACCCCTATCTGGCCTTGTTGGGTGCCTGGCCAGTTTCCAGGGGGAAGGAACGAGGTAGCCCTGCCTTCTGCGGCTCTGTGAGGAGCCTGCCCCCTCCCCCAGCCCTACTGGCCAGGGCCCCCCTTACTTCCAGTGCTGTGCCCTTCATCGACAGAACTGGAGCTCCCCCACACCGTCCCAACTGCGGCTCCAGCTGGAGTGCACCTGTCTTCTCCCCTGGCCTGTAAGCACCATGCCCCACCCCCGGAGTTGTAGTTCAGGCTCATAGTGACTAACCCAACCCAGCACATGTACTGGTGTGTCATTCCCCAGAAAGCCTCCCCTGCTTGTGGCAGAGGCTGACCACACTGGCTAGTTTCCCAGGCCAGAGAAACCTGGGAGTCTGGAGAAGGGGACAGAGTTCACCCATGGGAGTACCTGCCTCTAATCCAAGCCTGGACCGGACAGCCTGCCTCCAAGACAGTCCTCTGTGACCACACCCCTCCGACACTGTGGGTGGTGTGGTCAATACAGAACCACAGCATTGACAAGCAGGAGGGCAAAGCCCAGGGCTGCCATGGGACACGCACACAGGACAGCCAAGTGGTAGGGGTGCTTGGAGGAGGAGCCAGAGTGGGCTTGGGGTGGCATGCCAAAAGAGCTGGTGCAGCTTCTCTAGAAGTAAAAAATCAGGCAGGCACTGGAACAGCAGGAAGGCGCTGCTCTGACACCTGCAGCCCACCTGCAGGCCAGGTGCAAGTCCTGGCCTCACTTCCTGCTGCAACAAGTGACAACCCAGATGCTTGGGTCCCTGCCACCCGCATGGATGCTGGGCTTTGGCCTGGTCCAGCCCAGCTGTTGTGGGCATTTGAGGAGTGAACTAACAGATGGATAGTGTGTGTGTATGTGTGTATGATTTTTAAACAATAAATAAAAATGGGTAACATTAAAAAAAAAAAAAAGGTGATCCTTGCCTGGATCTTTCACAAGTCCTGAGAGTGTGGGGGATGGCAACCCCAGGGAGCAAGGCGAAGGGAGCTGGCTTTGGGACGCGAGGCAAGACTTGTGGGAGGAGGCGAGCGGAGGTCACGCCCTTCCCTGTGGCTCCTGGGAGTCACCTGGATGCCAGGTATGGATCTGGGGGAGCTGGCATCTGAGGGTCCCCCGATGGTCTGAGCAGTTGGTAGAAGCCCTGGCATCAGTTAGTCTCTCAGTCGGGCCAGTTCTCCATTGGTGTCTGGTCCCAGATACCCCAGGACTGACAGTATCCCTGGCATTATAATTCACTCTCAGGCCGTTATTCCCACTTGGCGAATGAGGACATGAAGGTGGGAGGCGGGACAGAAGGCAGTGAGGGTGCAACTCAGCTCAGTTGTCACAGGGGCCTGACCCCTAGCGGGGAGTCCCGGTAATGCAATGAGCTCTGCTGCTCTGTTGGCCTCTCAGGCGCAGGACTCAGCCAGTGGAGTCTTCAGTCAGGCTAGTCCGGCTGGGACCATCCAGGGTGGTGATGGAACCAGCCCAGGCGGTGCTGGCCCCGTGTTGCGGTGTGGACAAGGCAGCAGTCTAGGCCCAGTTGAAAGCAGTGCTACTTGGGAGGTATGTACAGGCCCAATGACTTGACCAACATGAGTAACATCTTACAGCTTTAATCTCGCAGGCCCGAGGGCAGCCAGAGAGGACAGCCACAGACAGCTTCTGGTGGCACCCTCCCCCCACCTCCACCCCAGCCTGGAGCGGGCAAACAGGAAGGACCCCAGCCTTCCTGGTTGGGATGGTGAAAGCAGGGGCTGTGGCCCGGGTTGGCATCCTCCTCCCTTGCCCTCAGTCATGTTCCCGGGAATCCCAAGCCCTCCCCATCCCCCCACTCCTGTCCTAGTTCCAGTTCAGCTCCTGTTGTACTTGCCTCCAGTTGTACTGTCCCCAGTAGGCCCCAGGGCTTTGTCTGCCCACCCCCAGTACACGATGGGGCACCCCCAAAGTTGGCAACACGGAAGGGGCAGCAGAGACACAGGCTGGCTCCTCAGGCTCCAGGGTAGGAGGGCTGTGGTGGCATATAGGGGGGAGGGGCTGAAAGCCAAGGAGAAAGGGAGAAGTCAGTGGGGGCAGGACATAGCCCCTCACCCAGGCTATGCAAGGTCGGTGGGAAAAGGGGCCTGCAGGGTCTCAGCCAGGGGTGGAGGGCACCTGAGATGGCAAGAGGGAAGCCGGAAGTGAGCAGGTGCTGGGACAGGGCACAGCTGGGGGCTACAGGAGCTCACTCACCTGCAGGGTTGTAGATGGGGGGCCCAGCCGGATAGAGTGGATACTGGGGAGCGGGCCCACTCGGTGGGTACATGAATCCAGGCTGTGGGGCTCCGGGGCCAGCTTTGGGGTCCTGGGGGTATGGGTACACGGGCTGCACGGGGATGCCCGTCATGGGAATCTCCTGGCCTGGGTGGGACACAAGGGTGAGCATTCAGAGGCCAGAAGCCCACCCGTTTTCCCAGGTGGGCTCCCAGGGGGACTGGCCCCTGGCAGAGCTGAGCAGAGAGCTGCATGTGTGACCCTGCGATGTCCAGCCAGAGAGCATGGCCCGGGAAATGTCCCCCTATGGTAAGGCTGTGGTGGCTGCAGGGCTGGTGTTTTGTAATACAGAAGAGCTGACACCAGAGGGGCATCTTCCACCAGCCAGCCTCCCTTCCTATACCCCTCCCCGAGGTGGTGTCTCTAGGGTTGGGCTGGAGTAGACACATATCCGGTTAGATACTGTGGACTCCATCCCGCTCACTTGCTAGGACACACGTGCATACATGTACCTGCTGTATACAGCAATCTGAGCTGCCCTGTACCCCTGAATGTTCTCTGTATGTGTACACCCATGGACACGCACACCCAAGTACCCCTGAGCTCACCAGCCTGTCTGTCTACTGCAGAAGGGCTGCTGCTGCCAAATGCATCCACCCTGGGATGCCGTGATGCCCACTGGTGGGGCGCAGCCCAGCCTTTCTTGGGGACCCAGCTGGTCCAGGATGCTGTGTACCTTCAAATGGGCTCTGGAGCTGCTGGCGGCGGCGATACAGGTAGCAACAGGAGCAAAGGAAGCAGCAGATGGTGGTGGCAACCACAGCCACGAAGAGGATCACAGCCGAGGCGATGCCAGCTATGGTCTTGGGGCTGGAGACAAAGACCAGGGCCTTAACCCTCCCTGCACCCCCCAACACTGAAGTTGGCTCCAACTCCTGGCCAGCAGAGGGCCACAGAAGGCTGGGACTTGGGGCCATTGTGGGGCCCTGCCCAGGGCCTGTGCTTATTTTGGGGGACCTCCATCTCCCAGAGTGCTATGCTGCCTGGCTGCCTGGGCGTGGGGCATGCCGGGATTTGTAGTGCTTCCTGCCCCGCCCCCCGTTGCTTTTGCACCCACAACTTAACTGATTCCACTCACAACACGTCAGCCCTGCACAGCGCCTGCAGAATCACCCAGAGCCACTACATCCCCCACTTCCTCCTATCAGCCAGACACCTTGTGTCTGCCTTAGCTCTCTATCAGCAGGTCCCTTGGGAAAGAAGTTTGAAAGCCACCTATCTGGGCAACACCCGCTCCCACTTTCTGGAGAGGAGACCATGGTTCAGGAGCATGACCACGGGAGGAGCCTCCCGGGTAAGGGCCCACACTGCGATCAGACTAATTCCACACCTGCCCTGCCTAACCCAGCCAGCTCCTCCAGAGCAGGGGACCCCCTGCAGGGCCTGGGAACACTGGGGCCAGCCCCAGCCCACCAGGATGGACCTCCTCAACTCTGACCACCCAGCTCTGCAGCCAGGCTGGGGTGCCTGGGACGGGGGAACAGAGGGAGGAGGGGTAGAGGCGGCGCCCACCTGAAAGCCAGACAGTGCTTCTGCTGGCGCTCGGTGATAAGCAAGGTCAGGTCCCTGCAGCAGTAGCGGTGGTAGCAGGTCCCGCAGCAGAAGGTGAAGAACTCGCAGTCAAAGCCCGGATGCCAGGAGCCGTTCCGGTCCAGGTACCACAGGCAGTCCTCGCCGGCCAGCGCTGCGGGTAGGGGTGGGTGCCCAGTGGCCTCTAGGCCCCACGCCCCCGGGGCGCGCCCCCAGCCCGCCAGCTCCCCATCCCCACCTTGCGGGGATCTCCCCTTCCAAGGGATCCCAGACGACTTTCCCATGGGCTGACCCCGAGCTCCAGAAGTCAGCTTCCCGCGGCCCAAGCCCCAAGCGTCCCTCTCACCCACCCATACACACACTCGGACTCGGGGTCTCCGGGGAGCCTCCCCTCCCCGCCCCATTCCCTTACCCAGCGGAGCGCCCAGCGCCAGGAGAGCGAGCGCGGCGAGCGGCGGCGCAGCCCCGCGGAGCCCCGCGGGCGGCATGGCGGGGGGCTGGGCGCGGCCAGGGCGGGCCGCGGGGCGAGGGGCCGCAGGAGCGAGCCGGCGGCCGGGAGCTGCGGCGGGCCCAGCCCGCGGCCAGGCTCCGCGGCTCGGCCGCCTCCTCCGGGGGCGGGATCAGGCGCCGCGCCCCGCCCAGGGCCCACCCACCCGCGACTCCCACGCGGCTCCCCTCCCCACGCGCGGGCCGACAGCTGGGAGACGTGGGACGGGGTTTGGAGGACCGCCTGGCTCGGGCCTGAGCCCGCCCCCACCCCGGCCTGCAAGCCAATTAGGATCCGGGGTCCCAGACAGCCCTGCCCATGGTACCACATCCCAAATCCCAGACACTGGGGCCAGCCCCGGATGGGCATGGCCGGACCTTCCCCTTGGCGGGCCATCGTGTGCCCCAAGCATCCAGCCCGGGACTGGCCTGCCTGGGCGGAGGTGGAGGCAGGGGTGGAGTGGGGAACGAGCAGGGGAGAGATGGGGAGCCACCCCGCCCCCATCCCCAGAACACAGGCACCCATTGAGAGGCAGTTCAGAGCAGTTCAGAGAGGCTTTGTCCCAGCCGTACCCACAGCTCTGGACCCTGCCAGCTGCACTGGCTCCTGGAGACTGCCCCTTCCCCCTCTGAGTGGATAGTGCTGGCGGGCGGCAGGCCACTGTGGCCATTTGGGGCCCATCCGGTCACAGCTCGGCTGCTGGAGGTGCAAGTGGGCTTGGGGAAGGCAACGGTGGACAATATCGGGCAGCTGTGCCATTGGAGGCTGGGCAACCCCACAAGCAGCCTTCATGGATTTGCGGTGAATGGAAGCCCCTCACCCTGCCATGGGAATTGCCCCTGCTGGAGATGGGGAAGTCAGGGTGGTTTATGGTTGGGATGCAGTGACTTGGAAGCTAAGCAGGGTTCCCTGACTGGGAGCTACCTGGCAAGCCAGGGGGACACGTGCAAGTTACCCTTTGTGTCCAGCTTCACAGAGTCCTTTCCACGCTCCATCACTTGCCACACCTGCCTTGCTGGACACCAGGGTGACCTGTGTTCCCAGTAATACCATTTCACAAATGTTGAGGCTTGGATGTGGCAAGAGGCAAGCAGGAGTTCCTGAGAATTCTAAGCCAGACCCCAACAGCAGATGGGTGGGTGGACCTGGAGTTTGGGGTAGGGGAGCCACGGTGTCAGAGAAGCCCAGTAGGACCTCAGTGGGTTAGGGGAGGACAGCTGGAGGTGCTGCTCCAGCCTGCCCCTGGGGCCATGGCTGTGACCACCCCGGGGAGGAGGACAGCTTCCCCCAGGAGGTTTTGCTGGTGGTGTGACATGTGGGCATGAATATATTGCTAGGCTGGACATGGTAAGAACACACAGTGGCTGGGGAAGTTGAGGCACATCTCAGTAGGCCACTGCCTGCCCAGGGTACACACTGCTGTCCATCTGCTCTTTCCACTCCATGAGCCTTGGGAAGGGCAGAGAGCACCGGGCGCCCCCCAGCCCCAAGTATGAGTCTTGGTCATTGTTAGCTGAACGCTCCCCTCCCAACCCCCACCAGCTGTCTGTTGCCACCCCTTGCCCTGAGTGCCTACTGTCCCTCCCTCCTTGCCAGTTGCCTCAGGACAATGGAATCTCCAGTGGGGGAAAATCAAAACTGAGCAAATGCAGGCCTCCCCAAACTCCTCCCTGTCTGGGGTGTCCCCTGCCTTTCCCTTTGTTCTCTCCAGCCAGCCCAGAATCCTGGCTGACCCCTTGTGGCGCATCGTGACACCCAGCTGGCTCCAACATTAGGATGTCTCTAAATTGCAAAACTCTATGGAAACTTTTCAGTCCATGGGCTGAGAGGGGGGCTAAACCAGGCCGGAGGAGGGAACTGGTACATCTTAGCAGAAGGTGTTGGAGGCTTGGCATGGGGGCTGGGCCCAGCCATGTCACTCCAGGGGTGACACTGAGGCTGGGAGAAAAGGGGCTAGGACCTGAGACACCCTCTCCTTCCCCAGCCAGAGTGGCCCCCAGCAAGGGCAATGCGCAATGTGCAACATGAGACAGAGAAGGGGCTAACCCAGCCCCTGACGTTGCGCAAGTGCCCATTCCACAGTACAGAGTGGGAATGGAGGTTAGAAGAATTGAACCCCATAACTCACGCTTCTGGGAGGCAAAGTCTGGCTTTCGCTCCATCACTTGCCTACAATGCAGTGTCATGACTGCCATAAGGAACATCTCCGTTGAGTGGTGCTGTGGTGGAGTGAGGGCCGACATCCCATATAGGTCCCGGTTCGTGTCCCGGCTGCTCCACTTTCCATGCAGTTCCCTGCCCACAGCCTGGGAAAGCAGCAGAGGATGGCCCAAGGCCTTGGGGCTCTGCACCCTCATGGGAGACCTGGAATAAGCTCCTGGCTTCAGATTGACTCTGCTCCAGCCATTGTGGCCATTTGGGGGAGTGAACCAGCAGATGGATGGTCTCTGTCTCCCATCGTTTTCTCTATAACTCTCTCAAATAAACAAATAAGACTTTAAAAAAAGTGTGGGGGGTGTTGGAAGAGGGGTGGGCCTGGTGCAGGACTGGCAAGTGCTGCTAAGTCACCTCCTTCCCAGGCAGAACAAGCAATTCAGGGCCCTGCTACCCCTGGCCACGCTGTATTATCCTTTTAAGAGCCTAGTTCTTTGAAAGACATGCATACATGAATCTCTCCCATTCCACAACAGTCAGCGTGCCAGAACTGGGCCAGGCAGGAGCCAGGAGCTCCTCTGGTTCTCCCCCCAGGCAGCTGGGACCCAGAAGTCCCAGAGTTGTCAACGGCTGCCTCCCAGGATGCAGAAGGAAGCTGGCTCAGAAGCTGAGGTGCCCAGACTCCAACTGGACACTCTGACATGGGGGCTGGGTGTTCCAAGAAGTGGCGTCACTTGCTGGACCAGGATGCCACCCCTCCGTGCTCATATCTGAGTGGCCAGCGGCTGGCCTGGGCATGCCAAGGCCCTTGGAGATCTTCCTTCCTGTTTCTGGTCAGTCAGTCCATGCCAGGCTGCTCTGCGTCCTCTTCTCCCAGCCCAGCCTCCCCTGGGAGCCTGGGACACATGGACTGTCCTTGCCTGCAGGAATCCAGGTCTCCTTGGTCCCACAGCCAGAGAACAAGCAAACGTCTCCTAGATGACAGCACTCTCGCTTTCATCTTTCCTGCCACAGATGAAAGACTGGCTCGGGTTTGTTCTCCTGGAGGGGAGGGGCACAGGATAGGGGGTGGGGGAGGGGAACAGCCAGGCTACTGGTAGGAAGGAGTGCCCTGCCTGAAAGGGTTTTGTTTTGATTTTAAAAGCTCAATTTATTTAGAGACAGATAACTTCCACCCATTGGTTCCCTCTCCAGATGGCCACAGTGGATCTTCTTCTGGGTCTCCCACAGGGGTAGCAGGGCCTCAAACACTTGGGCCATCCCCTGCTCTTTCCCAGGCACATTAGCGAGGGGATGGATATCAGAAGTGGAGCAGCTGGGAATCAAACCGGTGCCCATATGGGATACTGGTGTTACAGGTGGCAGCTGTGCCTGTTATGCAACAGTGCCAGCCCCTTCCTGGGAGGGTTCCAACTGTGCCTTTGCAGGGGTGCCTCTGACAGAATGTCAGGCTTCCCCACCTGTGGAGGGCCCAAGATGGCCTGGCAAAGCTGCGGAAAGGCGGGGGGGAGGCTGTGGCCAGGCTGTCTTGGGCGGCATCTGGGAGCAGCCCCTGCTCCTGTTCGGACATCCCTGTGGCTGTGGGAACAGCAGCAGCCCCAGGCAGCCAGGGCCTGGCCTTGGGAGCCCTGCCCAGCTGGCGAGGGCAGCCAGGAAGGCCACGTTATCTGTAAATGGTACCTTACTCATCCTGCAGCCTGCCAGCGGGGCAGTGTGAGGGCAGACAGGGGTTATTTTGGGATCTGAGGGTGAAAAGGAAGGTCCTGTTTACAGCTCTCCCATCTGGGAAGGGTGTGGGGCCATGGGCCTCTGCTAGCCAGCCAGCCCTTTCCTCCTGGGGGTGTGCCGTCGGCCCAGCTCCATTACTGGCTGACTTGGAAAAGGCGAGGGTCTTTCTTGGTGAGGCCGCCTGAAAGGTCAGGTGTAGGTGAGACAGCGTGTTGGACAGGGCCCAGCCCGGCAGCCAGCGCTGCAGAGGGGTGCGCTCTGCCGACCTCAGTCCTCACACTCTGAGAAGCAGATGCTACTGTTACACCTGCTTGGTAGGTTCCCCAGTGGAGACACAAACAGCTCCAGTGGATTGCCCAGAGCTGCCTGGCTGCTGAAGCAAGGCAGCCTGGCACCAAAGCCCAGGCTTGGAGCCCATAACCAGACAAGTCCTGCTCTGCTGCTCACTGACTCCACCAACCTGCACAGGCCACATAGCCCCTCTGGTAGTCTGCAAACTAGAGGCAGCAGGAGGTGATGATCCATTCTGTCTCCTTCTGTTCAAAGGAAAAGAGCCTAGCCAAGGTCCTGGCACAGGTCAAAGTGGGCCAGTGGGGGTGCAGGACCAGGCATGGATTTGCAACCACAGGATTAAGGGTGGAATACATTTCTTTTCTTTTTTTAAAAAAGATTTTATTTTTTAAATATTTTATTGGAAAGTTAGATATACAGAGGAAGAGAGACAGAGAGGAAGATCTGTTAATTCACTTCCTGAGTGGCTGCAACAGCCAGAGCTGTGCCAACCCAGAGCCAGGAACCAGGAACCAGGAACTTCTTCCAGGTCTTCCACGCGGATGCAGGATCCCAAGACTTTGGGCCGTCCTCGACTGCTTTCCCAGGCCACAAGCAGGGAGCTGGATGGGAAGCAGAGCTGCCAGGATATGAACCAGCGCCCAAATGGGATTCCGTTGTGTGCAAGGTGAGGACTTTAGCTGCTAGGCTGCCACCATCAGGCCAGGAATACATTTATTTTCATCAAACACATGAGACCAAATCTCTATCATGCAACCCAGGGGGAATTATCTATCATTCTGGCTTGTTCCTGGTTCCAGAACCAGGAGGTAGTCCTGGGATCTCACTTGGTGCCAAACACTGGGTGGGTCTGCAGGCTGATCCATGCTCAGAGGGCCAGCAGTGGTAGCCTGTGTGGCCAGGGACGGGGGATGGGCCCAGGAACTCCATGTGGCCATCCCCCTAGGGAGTTCTCACAAGGCCCACTCACTCCCAGGCCCAGAGGAGTTCTCTATCTTGTCCTTATCTTTTGCAAA